TGCAAACCACAGATGAGCCTAAGAAACCAGAGAAAGAATAGATAGACAAACAAGATTTATGGTCTCGATTCCTGCAAAGAACATGGGATGAGGCTGAGCATTTGATGTGGAAATGCCACTGTACTTGACTGAGTCCCAGAATTAGAGCAGTGGTCTCTACTCATATAGGTCACCCCACCTCACCAAGAGTACTTAAAATTCCAGAGTCCGGATCTAGGCCACATCTGAGATGGCCAAGCGGCTCAAGTTCACCAGAGATCTGGTGTTAAAAATCCTCTCCTTCCCAATTCCTTTACCACCTGTCTCCATCTGTCACTCCCACAATGCAGAAACGGGTTTCCTTTTCTTTCTGTAAGCCCTCATTACTTCTTCTTCACGTATTTTTCAATCCTCTCTCCCTTCTTTTCTACAACTTTCTCAGCCCCAGCACAGGAGTGTTTTTGCTGTGTATCTTAATGAAGGGTCCGTGTTTGATCAACTCTTTTCTAACAGTGGAAACTTTTTCTCTCAGATTACTCTATAATCATACATTTTGTCGTTTCTTTTTCTCCCCCCATGGAGGCAGATAGTAAAATTGGGATTTCTTTCAATATTAAGGCATCTTGAGTTCTATGGAGTATTAAAAGTGTACACATCTGTGTAACCACTTTTATTAAATTATTTCATTAATATTTCTCATATGCATAATCTTCAAAAATATGTTTTATATTGAAAGTATTTCAAAAGCTATTAAAATTGAATGTTTCAAAAGTGACTTTATGGGGATGAAAGGAAATACTTCTTTGAATTTTTAGGGCAATTTAAATAGAGGAGCTAAAATAGGTTTTAAGAAAAACCCCATGTGCCCAAGCCATTCAAATTGGTAACTAGAACAATGACACAATGTAAGTGAAGACAGAGCTCTTAACGATTAGCAGTAAAATGCAGTAAATTAGAGAGGCAGGAATGTAATCCCATTGTTGTCAATCTGGTTTACCTTGTGACTGATAAAAACTCAAGAACCCATCGTGACTAGAGAAATTCCTATGGGCTTCTCCAGATTCCTTCTGTCTACCAGTCTTCCAGACCAGGTAAAGCTGGATTGCCCACTAGCTACTTCATGCAGTTAGGCCAACCAGACACACACCTGAAACTTCTAGCTCTTCCAGCCACTTCTGGATTTGAATGGGACATAATACCTTATGAGGAGGGGTATAGCATCACGACTGCCAAAGAGACTGGATATGCAACCTGAAAGTATGGAAAAGTTAACACCAAAAGGTGAGATTTCACCGGTGGGAAACAGGATAAGGAGATCCCTGGGCAGATGCCTGGGGTCCCTCCTATGAACTTCTTCAATCATGATAGTCAGGTAAAGCTTCTCTGGATAAGTACTGTACGCCAACTGGCTGCAACTGCCCGTATGACCTGCTATTTCTTTATAGCTCATTGTGACACAGTAGTCAGTGTGCTGACTGCATCGTGTCCCTGTTACCTCACCGTACTTCCATTTTCTCCCACTCTAACTGCACCTTCCAAATAAAACACCAGCGTGTTGATCCTTGCCTCATATTTGTTTGCTGGGAAACCTGGGCTAAAATACATCCCCTACCTTAGAATTTTAGTAATATACATTATATATTTTATAATTGTGAATTGTTAGTAACCAAACACTATCATTCTTCAAGGTATTTTGTAAATACTGAAGGTAATTTTATGGGTTTCAGTATTGTAATGCTGCTTTGTTAAAGCCATCTGTTGATGCTTCTAAAGATGCTAATTATAGTAGCACTTGGAAGCTAATTTCAAGTAGCAATAATGACTGTTCAGATAGCTACCCATTGACTTTTATGGTGTGCTTGACTGTTATTTTCTAGAAAAACATCACTTATTGTGAGTGGCAGGGTCAGGGCTTAGTCCCCCTCCTGACCTTTCCAGGAGCTTGGAGGGGGAAGTCAGAAGCAGGAAGGAAATACTAACTTCTGGAACAAGAGAAATATTGGAAAGATGTGAGAGATGTGGCGGTCAAGATACACACCTGTGTGACCTTCAAGATGTGACACCTGTACCAAACTCTGAGACTTCGTTTCAAAAAAGAAAGCAAATGGCCCTCAGCATATCTATCTGGGAAAGACTCTGACCTCAGTCTTGTCTTTTTCTGGTTTCTCAGTCATGTATCTGCTCATTTCTCTTTAGTCAACTTCTCCCTTTCAGCTCTACCGGCTATTGGTTTCTTTGGTTGGCATCACTTTGACTTGTAGTCAAGGTTTTGTCACTCAATTTACTCTCTTTGGATTGGTTTTTGATGCTCCATTTTTTCTCTAAGTTCCCTCTTCTACAATTCTTATCTGCTACTCCCTTCTCAGCGTCCACTGAAGACATGACCTGCACCTGATGTGACCTAGGCTCCAGCATTCAAGGGAGGAGAAAGGAGACTGTGTTTGCATTTTTTCTTTCACTTAAATTATTACTAAATTTTTGTTCTTCTCTGTCGCCTTTCTATTTTAAAATGTATGATAAATTTTCTGGAATAGTAATTCTCAGGCTTCTGGGCATTAGGAACCCTTTATACTCTTCAAATTACTGAGATTTCAAATTCCATAAACATTTGCTGTATTAGAGATTAGAACAGAATTTTTAAAGTATTAGTTAATTAAAAACATAACAATAATAAACCCATTACATTTTAACATAAATAGTATTTTTTATGAAAAATAACTATATTTTCCAAAATTAAAAAATACTTTTGAGAAGAGTAGCATTATTTTGAAAATATCTTTCCTATCTGGCTTAAGAGAAGAACATTTGATTCTCGTCTGCTTCTGCATTCCATTTGTGGTTCTGTTTCAAGTACAGATAAAAATCTAGCCTTACTCAGATATGCAACTAGAAAAGAGACAGCCTCACATATGCCCTGAAAGAATCTCGGGGATCTTGAAGGGTCCTCTCATCACATTTGAGAACCATTGATCGGGAGTACACTGGGAAAATAATTATCATTTAAAAATTATTTTTAAAAAGAAATTAGTTCTGAATTCAAAGCAAGTAACTATATCAGAAGATTGCCAGTCCAAGCAATCTGGTGTGTTCTCAGCATTTCTACAGTTCAGATGAATTAATTGTCAAATAGCTAAAATGTAATAAAAATGTTTAAAAACTCATCCCAATATGTAATATATGGGACACAGCATGGTAAAAAAAGAAATTTGCTTAAAATGCATAATTTTATTAGAAAAGCATTTGTTTAATATCAATATATCATGTTAAAAAATTAAAGGATCCCACTGACTTACTTTATATTGATTAGAAATCTATGAAAACAAGAAGGAAACCTTATATTACATAAACTCTAAATGTATAGTGAGAATAAATTTGAATACTATCAGTCTTTTTTCCCTGTTTTTAAAAAACTTTTATTATTTAAGTACAGTTGACACACAGTGTTACATTAGTCTTGAATAGTAACAGTCTTAAATAAGAAACACTCAAGTTTTTAAAAATTTTTAAAGCATTATGCGATAATGAACATTATATTTATTTTGTAATAATGAGGAAAACTTTATTAACCTGAAGAGAAGATTGTGATAAAAATAATCTGTATCCACTGCTTGCCTCTTATATGAGGCACCTAAAATAGGCCAACTCATAGAAGTAGATAATAGAATCGTTACCAGTGGGTGCGTGGAGAGGAGGAATTGTTCAAGGGGGTACAAAGTTACAGTTACCCAAGATGAGTAAGTTCCAGAGACTGTTGCACAACATAATGCCTACAGTTAACTATACAGTCTTGTGCATTTAAATATTTATTAAGAGGGTAGATCTTATATTAAGTGTTCTTAACACACACACACACACACACACACACACACACCACAACACAAAAGGACACAGGAAACTTTTAGAGGTTATATTCATTAGTACAAGCATAGAGATATGTCCAAATGCACCAAATTGTATACATTAATTATATGGGGTTTTTTTGGATACCAACTATACCTCAGAGCTGGAAAAAATAATAAAAAAATAATGAAAATATTCTCTATCCAAATTTTCTTCATAAGCCATCTGCAGAAACTGAAATAGAGCGCACGGCAAGAACTTTTTGGAAGAGATCTGTCATGTCATCTGGCTGTTCTAGAAATGCCTCTCTTTTTTAAAGATCTTTCATTTAATACAAGTAGAGTATTAAAAATGGTCCCTGGTAGGTGGCTCAGTTGGTTAAGCGTCCGACTCCAGCTCAGGTCATGATCTCATAGTTCGTCAGTTCGGGCCCCACATTGGACTCTGTGCTGACAGCCCAGATCCTCGAGCCTGCTTCAGATTCGGTGTCTCCCTCTCTCTCCTCCCCTCCTCCACTCACACTCTGTCTCACTCTGTCTCTCAAAAATAAATAAATGTAAAAAAAATTTTTTTTAATGGTCACTGGTAGTAGCAGACTCTATTCCCTTTGGCTCTCGCAATTTCAGAGAAAAAGGGAATACATCTTTCTTGATTATTTGAGCAAAATTTCTGGTGAGGGCCCCGACTGGGATGACTTGGATCTGGTGGGTATTTGTGACTCAACCACGGTGACCAGGGAGGAGTACTTTGATTGGTTTGGCTGGATTACGTGCCCACCTGTGTGAGAGAAAGGCAGGTGAAGTGATTGACCACCCAGTGGGGTTGGGACAAGGGTTCGTAAGAGAAATGAAGAGGAGGAGATATAGGTTGAGATGAACTTTTTGCCTTAGTGGTGAGAGTAGTGGTGTTTTAAATAGGGCCAAGCAAGAGGTCTGACAAGTTGTGATCCACATTTGTAACTAGTTCTACTTTATGTCTGAAGCAGAGAAGAAAGACATGCAACTGAAAAAAAAAAAGGTGGAGTAGGAGGAAGGAAGAGACACAAAAAAGCTCAGGAATGAGCCTCTACCAATTTCCTGATTCACCCAGGTGGTTTTTGCTGTTTCTGATTCTCTGCCACAGTTAAGACATTTCTAAGGTGGGAGTTTCTTTCAGTTTCTCTCTTTCATTTTGCCTTCTAGGTGGACAAAAAAATCGTAAGAACTGAGATAGGAGTTCTTCTTCGCCTCTCACATCCAAACATTGTAAGTCATTTTTAATCTTCTATTTCAAAAATTTTCAAAGTTATAGAATGGGGTTTTTCTTCTTTGCTGGCCATGCTATTAATGAGATAGGGATTCTTCCACCACCATTAGGCAGCCGTGGCCTACCCCTTGTCCTCATCTGATCACATTTTTTAATTCAGAAGCTGAATAAATCTTAAAAATAATACCCCTCAAAAGAGTCTCAAAATGGACAGATCAGCAATACATGCCATCTTTGTTTTCATGCATGAAAGGGTAACTAAAAATTGAAGTTTTGTTTCACTCTAAGAAAACACTGGCTTCTTCCTTTTGTGTGCCTATCTTATTAATATGCCATTGCTGAAAAAGCCTGTGAAGAAAATGCATTGCTTTCCAAAGTCATTTCAGTCTCCTTTGAGAGAGGATCTACTTCAGAAACAATGTGAAGATTCAAATAAATGATGTACTTCAATGGGGAAAATAACATGTCCTCAGAAGCTCTGCTCTAGGCTATGTCCAGACAAAGGTGCTGAGGGAAAGGTCTGGCAAAAAGCTTTCTTGAGCCAATGAAGTGAAAAGAACAAAATCATTTTCCAGGCCATAACTTGAACTGAGCCAACTACTTAAAGACAATATTTTACTCATTTCTTGAAAAAGTTATGGTGTCTAGGAGGATGACCTACAATGCTTAGTTAGGCTCCAAGCAAAGTGCTTAAAACTTAACATATGGGTTAGCAATGCAGTCAGCTATAAGTAACAGAAAACTTGAATATGGTGGTGTAAACATATATTTTCTTATGTTATAATCAGAAGGCAGGCAGTTGCTGGCATTGGTTCAGCTCCTCAGTGATGATATTCAGGACCCAGACATCTTCCACCCTCACGCTGTTCCTTCATTGTCCTAAATGGCTGCTCCACAGTTTTCACAGGTCTTCAGGCCTATACTCAAGACAAAAAGAACTGGGGATGTCTGGGTGGCTAGTCGGTTAAGCATCCAACTCTTGATTTCAGCTCAGGTCATGATCTCACAGTTCGTGAGATAGAGCCCTGGGTAGGGCTCTGCACTGACAGCATGGAGCCTGCTTGGGATTCTCTGTCTGCTTCTCTCTCTGCCCCTCCCCTGCTCTCTTTCTATCTCTCTCTCAAAACAAATAATCTCTAAAAGAAAGAAAGAAAGAAAGAAAGAAAGAAAGAAAGAAAGAAAGAGAGAGAGAGAGAGAGAGAGAGAGAGAGAGAGAGAGAAAGAAAGAAAGAAAGAAAGAAAGAAAGAAAGAAAGAAAGAAAGAAAGAAAGAAAGAAAGAAAGAATTGAAAAGGCTTCGCCAGCAGAGTATGATGAGAAGAGTAGAGGCTTTTTCAAAATTTCCAGCTGCATCAGAATTCTCTTCAGATTTTATTGGCCAAAGCTGGCCACAAGATCATCCCTTTCCAGTTCCACAAGATCATGGAACTGGAAAATTGGGGCAGGATTATCCTAGGTGGCTTAGACCAATCATGATCCATAATTTGAAGCTAGGCATCTTGCTTCTCTATACAAAATCTGCTTGCAATACAGTAGGGGGAGAAGAGCTTTGGGTAAGCAATTAACAAAATTTGCCACATACAGTCACAACTTTTATATTATCCATCTTTTTCTTTCAACAACAAGTCAGTGTAGAATTTTCCTCAAATGTGGATGAGTCCTGGTCACTAGATTCTCTGATATATGGAGGAAAATATCCAAAATTGGGTGAGTTATCTGAGTGTGATGCGAGTCTTGTTATAGTCAGTCAAATCACTGCCATCACTACTTTTCTGAGGATCCCTTCATCCACCAGCAACATTTTAGCTGTTGAGAGGTATCCTTTCCATATGGACAGACTTTAACCTGGTCCTGTTCTGCCTCAGACCCCTAATTCCAAGTTCCCTTCCAGGAGAAAGAGGCATTTACATCACTAGCAACCATGATGCTTTCAAATGTTTCAAGAAGCTTTGTTTGTTTGCTTTCATTTTTTAATTCCAGAGCATTTCAGAAATTTTGATGTTTTGGCAAAACTTAGGAAGTGTTTCTAGGGCAGTTGTCTTTGAATTGTCAAAAAGAAAAATATAAAAACTCAAAAGGACCTTTAAAGAAATGAGGTAGTAACTGGTCAAAACAACCAGAGAGTGAAAAATGGCTACTGTTACCAGAATGCGGAAACTTTATTGATGATGATCCAATATATTGCTATTACAGAGAGTGTTGTTTTAGTCAGTGTTAGCTCTTTCCTAGAAGGATGAAAATAAGGAATTTCTGATGTATTTTTAATATCTTTCCCCAGATAAAACTTAAAGAGATATTTGAAACCCCTACAGAAATCAGTCTGGTCCTAGAACTCGTCACAGGAGGAGAACTGTTTGACAGGTAAGATGGTCTTAGAAATCTAACTCAAGAAGAGTTTTGTTTCCAGGCACCAAAAAAGTATCAAAGGGAAATTTCTTCTGATGATTTTCATAATGACACATCGTACAACTTGATAAATTCTACCGAAATATATCTTCAGAGGAGTATAGAATGGAAGGAGAGTGTTATTTAATATGATGTGGGTGTGTGAAAATTTAGGATGCTTAGTAAGTGAAAAATGAAACACCGTAATATCCATTTACTCTTGCAAACATTTACTTTCCCATTAAAAACAGAATTTCTAAAGACATACTAGATTTAAACTAAATAGTAACATTCATGAGAATGTTTCATGAAAAAATATTTGATGAAAATTATAGAAAGTTAAATATGTAATAGTATTCTCTGTTATGATCCAAAAGCTTATAAAAATCAATACACTTCAAATGATTTTTTTTAAGGCCTTGTTTCTCTATTAGGCTGTGTAGAGTTCCAAGAGGCAGAGTAAAACCTATGCTGTTATGTCCAGTTATAGCCAATTTCAGTTGTCTGGTCATCCGTTCATCACTCGAGGCAGAGGTTTGAGGATGCCAAGGAATATGCCTAAAAACCTGGTGGAGCATAATATAGGCAAACAATATGTACAAGAGACACAACCTTTAAGTTTCCGTGCCTTTCGCACCTTCCCCATTTTTCTGGGACAGTTCCCTATTTACCTAGATGGGCTCTTAGGAGCCCTATGCTGTGCTCTTTTGGGTAGTCAAAAGAGAATGGAATTGGAAGAAGACAAAGTGACTAAGTAGGCATATATGAGGAAGAGTTAGAAGCTGGGTACTAATACAAAGCTCCTGTTCGTTAAGAATGCATTAAGAGGGGCACCTGGGTGGTGCAGTCGGTTAAGCGTCCGTCTTCAGCCAGGTCACGATCTCGCAGTCCGTGAGTTCGAGCCCCGCGTAAGGCTCTGGGCTGATGGCTCAGAGCCTGGAGCCTGTTTCCGATTCTGTGTCTCCCTCTCTCTCTGCCCCTCCCCCGTTCATGCTGTCTCTCTCTGTCCCCAAAAAAATAAATAAACGTTGAAAAAAAAAATTAAAAAAAAAAAAAGAATGCATTAAGAGAGAAGTGGGCTGCAAAGAGAAGACAGGAGAAAGATTGAGGGAACTACTGATAAAGCATGAGTGCCTGGCGCATAGTAAAATCCTCAGTGTTTGCTGAATGAATGAGCAACCACTATAATGAATAGACTGTAAGGAGAAAGAGATCTGAAGGGGATAGGGTTAGAAGGTGTCAGAAGAGGAGCACTCCTACCTTTCCTCCCCACCCAGACTCTACCTAGTTTAATTTGATGCCTGCATGAAGCTTCCAAAGATATTCATGTTCATTTTCAAAGGTTCTGTTTTTAGTGTTACCTAGTGCAGATTTGGGTCTTCAGATAGGAAGGAGTAAAATGGTCCAGTTTGATTGGAGCTACATGTGTATCTTCAATAGATAAATAATTTTGTTTATATATACATTGAAGTGTTCTTGGAACAAGTTATGTGGTTTATCAGACTTTAAAAATTGTTTATTTTGGGGTACCTGATGGATCAGTCAGTTGAGCATCCAGCTTTGCCTCAGGTCATGATCTCGCGATTCGTGAGTTCGAGCTCCTATGTCAGGGCTCTCTGCTGTCAGCACAGAGTCTGCTTGGAATCCTCTGTCCCCCTCTCTCTGCCCCTCCCTGACACATGCGTGCGCCCTCTCTCTCTCTCTCTCTCTCTCTCTCTTTCTCTCCAAAGTAAATGAATATTAAAAAGAAAATTTTAACATTTTAACTAAAGACATACACTTCTTGTGGCATTTGGATTCATGTCTAGATCTTGACTTAAAAGACAAATAACTAACTAAGAGTGATTTACTTAACCTCTCTGAAACTCAGAACAAATTTGAAGTGATTCTGTCTTGCTAAGGAAGCTGAGACACTGATCTGCTGTAAGAATAAAGACCATCATGTTTCCTTGTGTTTAGTGAAGACTCTTCTAGACTGATTAACTTGAATGTTACCAGAATTTGCCAGAAATGGCTTCTTTTTTAACACCTCTATAGCTAACTCTTTCATGGACGTATTTCTTCTTTAGGCACATTAATAGAGTCAATTTATAGTTCAATTCTGCTGCCTTTGGAGTAAGAAGGTCTCTCTAAGGAGAACTAACATATCATCTGCTAATTATAGTCTATCAGGGAGAAATGCCATGTTCTTTAACTGTAAATAACTACAGGACAGGAATGGCACACTAAAGCCATCATCTACCAATAGCACTTACTATTTACCTTCTTTCCTCTATTTGTTTAAACTATTTTGGAATTAAGTCTTTCTGTCCGTCTCCAACCTTTCATGAAAAGATTTTGTTCTCTCATCTTGTAGTAGTCTAGTTGATTTGATGAGACAGAGTTAATTCAGCTCTAGATAAAAATGAAAAACTAAATACTGTTGAGAAATTTCATTTACAGAGGTAAATGGATGAAATATTCAGATTTAGCAGAAGACATCTAAAGAATGGCAGACAGCCAGTAAAGCACTCAATCACTTAAAAACTCTTAGTGGTCTTAGATCCCAGACTTTTTCCCCCCTTGAATGTTGTTGTCCACATATCTATTGCCATATCTGAGATGAACTTGGTTTCTCCATTAGATTACTTAATTCTACAGTTATCTTTAAAATTGTACCAAGTTGAAAATATACCCTGTGTTATTATCCATGTATTTCTTTCTTTCTTGAGAGTTAAAAATCATAATACTGTTTTGTTTTGTTTTTTCCTGTACTTCAGTCTGAACCAAATTCATTGAATTGCAATGATCAAAATTCATTCCTGGTCTAATGATGATGTTAATAGTTTCTAATGAATTAACCAATGGGACAATTGATGAAGAGATGATTGTGTTAGCCCATTAGAGCCAAAATGTTTATATTTTAGTAGCAAAAAAATCTATTCCATGGTGCTTCTAAAAAACTAAACATAGTAAAAATTTGAGTGGAATCTGCTGTTGCATGTAGAATATAAATAGTAAAGTGCACAGGACAATTGATTAAAAATTTTGGAATCAAGTCAGTGATTTTTTTTTGTGTACAAGAAAATCCCCCCAGAAAGCCCTTTACAAAATTGAGACATGATGGGAAAAAGAAAGCTCCAGAGGTTTTCTGCTTCATCTTTCTCAGTCTAGTCATCTTCTTAGAAATTCACTGCATTTTTTAAATTGACAAAGTGTGAGATTGTTTGCTTTAAGAGTAAATTTTCCTTTTTTTTTTTTTCAGAGAATGATTGTATTTTAAAGCAGCCAAGTTAGAAGTATACTTACAGTCTTCTAATTATATTTTTGAAGAAGTATTTTTTTCCTGATTTTTGTCTAACTCCAGTATCAGAATATGTTATGGATTTTTAAATCGTCTCGCTTTTTCTGTTTTCTCCTTGGGTTTTTGCTTGCCTGATTATACTTGCTTAGATGCCAAACATTACATATAAAACATTTTGGAATATGAGGCTTTAAATGCTGTAACCTTCCAAAAAAGCAGATTTTCTTTTGCGGGCAGTTAAGGTAAGGAGCAGATCACTTTAATTCAATCAGGTATTTGATTGATTCAAAGTGGAGCTTCCTGAAGGGAGATCTAGTTCTTATCAACTCCTACTCATAGGGTTTTGATCTTTAAGGGTTCCAATTTAAGCCAGGAGTTGTTCCAAGCCCTTTTTCTTGACACACCCTAAATGCCAGCTTCTGTTCCTTCCATCTTGTGAGATGGCCAGAAGCTTTGTTCATCTTTTCAGCCTGTTAGCTACTGATATCGAAGCAGTAAATGCCTTTAAAGGGAAAGCGGAGGCATCAGATGTTAAGTTTGCTTTGCTGGGTTTTTTCTTCCCTCCTGGACCTTGGCTCCTAAATCCTTCACTTTCTTGGTAACTCTGATGTCTTCAAATATATTTAAAAAAAAAAATATTTGGCTTGTTTTCATTGTTCTTGCCTGGAGGCTTGTTTACCCCACTGTTGCTGAGAACAAAAAATCAATATATTTGGTTTTAAAATTCCTTTCCCAGACGCTCATGTGTTCTCCTCTTTTATATCAAGGTAAGGAGGATGAAAAAGCATTGTCCCCACTTTACAGATGTGGCAACTGAGGATGAGTAAAGGTAAATGATTTTCCCAAATTAGGCATCCAGACTATGTTCTGGTCCAGCTCTGCCTTCTCATATGGCCCCACTGTCTTTCTTATTAAATCCAGTTATTTCCTTTCGAATCATTTCCCAGAGAGCAAACTCATGTTTATTCTATTTATGGAGAATCCATGATGTATTGGTTGGTTCTATGCAAAGCTATATATGTATTTAACCCATTCAATCTCTCTTCAAGTGTTTTGAGGTATTATTCGAATTTTTTCAAGAGAATAAACTGAAGAAACTAAGCCATAAAGCCAAGCTTGAAACTCCTATCTATTTGACTGCAAACTTTTTTTTAAGTTCTCCAAACTGAAAATATTCTTTTTAAAAACTGCAAGTGGTCAGTAAGCAAGAGAAGTAGTAGTTATATTTGGGAACTATGCATTGACCCTTTTAATCACCTGACAGAGTCCTAGTATATCAGCCCCAACAGTCATCTCCACTTGAATATTTCAGGGTTCTTAGTGTTGGCAGAAATGGAATTTTAAGGACATGGTCATTAGAAAAATTTCTAGAAATAGAACTTAGGGTTTTCCCTGCCCAGTCTCCACAGAGTTGTACCATGGTTGGTATTGTGGTTAAACCAAACTCAGATTATGTCTGAATTTATAAAGACTGTCGTGTCAAAAATTGATCATTGTTATTAAAGTGAAAAATCCATAAGATCTGTCTGAAAAGGATAATTAGTTACTGTATCGAGTGCCTGTTGGTGTCCTGGAAGTGGTTGGGCATTTTACTAAGCGTGATCTCATTTAATCCTCATGGCAACACATGTACAAGGTAGGCCTTGATGTATACATTTTATTGACCAGATAACTGAGGATTAGAGAGGTCTAT